TAAGGAAAATAGCTATTCCGCATCCAAGCATATCATCTTGTAGAGAATTTTATTCTCTATAAGCCTGTATATTTGAGAAGATTTTTTAATTCGATTTAGCTGTCCAAAAATTAAGAATACTGAGCAAGGTGTGTTGAATATTAAAATTAATAACTAATTATTGACTATAAAATTTTAGAATCTTGAAAAATCAAGGATACAAGTAGATTCAACATCTCTTTCTCTTTCAGATGATGTATTTTGGGTTGAATTTTTATTACCCTGAAGCCGAGAAGTGAAGGTTTTCTAAAAAACCAACGGTGCTTCCAGTACTGAGAGTCTTTAGACACGGTCTTAACATCTTTTCCAATTTTTCTATATATCAACGTGTAGAGAAATGTTTTCTCTATCGAATGATATAAAATTCAAAATGTTTTGATATAAAATAGAGCTGTGATAATGAAAAAGACACAAGTGTCCGAATAATTTTTTTGCTCGTAAAATCGACTGCTTCTCAGAAAACTGTGGAAAACTTTACGAAAACTACACTTACCGTAGAATCTTTTCTGTGCAAAAGAAAGTAGAGATCATGACCTATCGAATGATGTATTCAGAGTCTAAAAAATATATTTTCATCATGGTGATATTTGCTCAACAAGTTGGACGTACTGAGGTGTCCGAATAATTTTTTTACATACTGTATATGGCACAACGTAGTTAACATGCTGTCGGATGGGTGACTCAACAAAAACGGCTTTAGTGACGTGGTTAGGATCATTTCATGACTAATCGTACTAAGGTTTGAACATCATATCTTGCAGTTATTGTCGAACTACGTACTCCCTTAGCAATAGCGATATTTGAGTGTGACTGACAACAAGATTCATTCACTCGCATCTCATGTCGAGCAGTCAATCTTCGAAGCAAGAAAAAAAAACACGAACCTTTCAACAAACAAATACAACGTTTGATTAAAAACCTACATTTAGACATTAACGATCAGTTAAATTATATCAAGCTTATATTGTCTCCATAAATTTTCTCGATACTTTTATTTATATATTCTTGCGGAGCAAGTAAACAATACATTGAACTAGTTCTTTTTAGGTTTTCCTCAAAGAAGATTTGTCCTATAACGCAAGTGTCCTAGTGCAGCTATGTTTGAATAAGTAAGTGTCCGGTTTCTATACTTACATGGTGCATAGAACATTGTTAAAATAGGTGATTGTGCATTTTCAGTAATAAACGCATCAAATGTTGCATCATCCAAATGAACAATATAACTAGAATTGTCATTATCAATTGGAAAGAATTCTGTTACAGTTTCCTCGTCTGTTTGTTCTTTAGGTGGTTGTGGACTAAGAATATAATTATAATTTTCTACTATAATAGTAAACAATATTTAATTAATATTACTTTTTAAGCCAATTTATAATATCATCTTTAGTATGACCACCACTATAATGAAATTTTTCTTCACCTTTTCTAGAAAAAGCAAAATAATTTCCCTAGATACTTTCAGATAATATGTTCAATATTCATACTCAAAATAGATAATAGTAGGAAATCCAGTTATATTGAATTGTCTTCGAATACGATAATTTTCGACTTTATCAACATTCATACCAGCTAAGATATATTTACCACGAACATCAGTAGCTGCTTCAGCATAAATAGGTTTTAATCGTTTACAATGTCCACACCATGGTGCATAGAACATAACTAATAATGGTAATGGTTTTTTTAATGCTTGTTCAAGATCCTAATTAATATATTTGACAAAAAAAATTCAATGAATTCATAAAAAAAAAGGTATATTTTACTTTGGCTTGATTCAAATGAAGAACATTTTGAGCAAGTTCCTCTTCATCCCATGGCATTTCACCGCTAGGATCAAGCATAAAATTTATCATAGACTAAATTAATAGATAAATATAATTGTTACAAATACAAAATCTAGATAAATATTATATTAATACCTTTGCTGTAAGTGCACGATCATATACTTTATGAAAATCTCCATCTCTAGAATATAAAATTCACATGTTAATTTAATTTCTTTATCAATCAAGCTTAATTCACTAGTTTTCTAGTCATATGATATTTTCTTCGTTCAATGCGTTTTAATAATCTTTAAAACGTCAGATTCTTACAATATAAATATTTATCTTGCTTGATTATTATTATTAAAACAAGTGGTGACTCATAAATCCAAAAATTATTTTGCATTCTTTGAATCGGAACAACACTCCTACACTTTCAGGTGTTGCCTAGTGGTCGATTCATTAGCTCAGTATTTTCTCTACAACTAATACTAACTGTAGCTCTGGAATGAGGATTGGTCTCACGCAGAGTTCTTACTTGAGCTCCTCACAAACACTAACTAACCAAAAGAGCATATGTAGTGATACCGAGGTTTGAACACAATACCTTCTAGATACATGACAAACAATATAATCCCTCAACCATGACGGGCTCTATTGGGGTTAGAAAATTGCGCGCTAATCAAAACGTCGCAGCCTCATCACTCACAAGGAGACCAATTAAAATGATGATGAAAGTTTATCATTTTCTTCAATTAACTTATCATCATTTAAAAACATAGGACATATATGCTTCTTTTTATAGTTGTCAATATAAATACTTGTTCATAAAACTATTTTGAAAACTTCAGTTACAAAAATCGAAATAAATTTGTAGGAGAAAGAAGCTCGAATCTATTGGATGGATTTCGAAGTCAAATCAGGTTAGGTACAAGTTCGAACACCTGGAATCCGACACGCTATAGGGTTCTAAGAAATGTATAGAGTACATTTATTACACAATACAAAAACATGTCTCATATCGTCGGGACGAATATCTCATTTCGATTTCTTTTTAATCAAAATACAATCATTTTTAAGGTAGTGCAATATTATTTATTCTTATCCTTTAAAATTCCAAAGAAATGTTTACTCACTGAAAGTGTCGTAATTCAAGAGTGTTTGTATCAAATTTGAATTTTTTACAAAGTTTTTTTCCTTTACTAAAAAAAAAATAATACAAATCAATTTAAAATAGATTTTCATTTCTATATTCTTACTCGCAATTGATATGCACAAGTAAACCTCGACCTTTTATTTCTGGTTCAACCTGTTTAAATACTTGAAGAATTGGTTTTGCACTTTGATCTAAATAATAGAAAATATTATCATTATATTAAAAAAATTCAAAAACAAATAGACAAATACCATTTGGTGAACAAAGTACAAGAACATTTTTATTTTGTTTTAATAGTTTTTTAAAATCTTTTTCTTCTATTGGACTTTCATATCCATATGTAAAATAAATCACCTATAGAATATAATTTTCATCAATATAAAACTAGTTTGAAATTATTCTATCTTACGGAAACAACGAAAATAAGCGTCCTAATTCTAAACATGATTTCGATGAATAAATTTGATGATACATAAAAATAGAAAGCCAGCGCATCAATCTGTCCATAAAATAATCACCAATGAAAATATTTCAAATTCAGCGGCCTCTTTATGTATTTTAAACTTATTAATGATTGGTTTATTATATTGGGAATTTTTTTTTAATAGGTCTATTTCGTTACTACAACATCTTATTTCACTTTTTATTCTTCTATTTACCAATTTAAGATATCAAAAAACACAAAATTAATTGAAATTTTTTTGTCAAATAATGACTAAAGATACAAGTTCACAAGAATATTTGAATTTAAAAACTGAACTACGTTCATTATTAATTAGTTCACAGCAAGGATGTGATGAACACCAATTAATGAGAGATTATGATGAATATAATGGACGAAGAATTCCCTTTCGTGATATGGGTTATACAAGTTTAATTGAGTTATTAACATCAATGCCTGATGTTGCACGTATTGATCAGACAAGAAGACCTATCATTATACATGGTGTTGCTGATCAAAGTACAGTTCATATTAAAAAATTTGTTATGGCGCAAAAAAGAAAAAAATCTTCACGAAATGGTGGACGTGGTGGCATAAATAGAAATAATATAAACAATCGAACAAATGGACCATTGATGGGTTCAAGAAACCGACAGGTGTGTATTGTTTTT